GTGGATGCTGGGAGCCAAACCCAAGTACTCTGCCAGAGCAGTAAACCCTCTCTTCAGCCTGTCAGTTGTATCTTAGATTTGAGATTTGGGATAGTATTTTTGGGTTTAGGTGAAGTTTTGTTTTGTGTGTGTGTGTGTGTGTGTGTGTGTGTGTGTGTGTGTGTGTGTGTGTGTGTTTCTTTAGGACCTAGGATTAGGATCTGGGGCCTCACACATTAGGTAAGCTTTCTCTCACTGGCTGTATCTCCTAGCCCTACATGAGATCTATAATGGACATCATCCTCGAACACCTGGCAATATTAGACTGTTTCTAACCAGTGAAAGAGGCCGTTCTCATACGGGATGTAGCTCAGTTGGAAGAGAACCTGCTCAAAGGCCTTTGTCAATCCCACGTAAAATGTGTGTGATGGTACAACTCTATAATCCCAACATTCGGGAGGATTAGAAGTTCAGGTTCATCTTTGGCTACATAGGGAGTTGAAGGCCAGCCTGGGGTACTTGAGACCTTGTGTCACACACAGAAGGATCCAGTCTTGATTCTCTTGCATCCCTCTTCCCTTCCCCTAGCGTGTGAGCCTTGTGGAAGGTCTCTTGTTCTCATCAGTGTCTTTGGGGGCTACTGATGGGGGCACAGGCTGAGAGTGGGCCATGAGGAGCAGCAGGAGTAGGGTTTTAGGAGCTGCCGTAGACCAAGCAAACAGTGAGCCAACTCTGGTAAGTGTGGGGACTTATGAGAAAACCCTGAGGGATTACAAGCCTGGGTGTGGCCTTAGTAGTAGCATGGATGAGGACTTGGTGAGTTTTTGCTGATTGCAAACCCCTTATACATTGGTGGGAATCATGGCTGCAAAAGGAGCCACTTGGGGGCTGTGTTTTGTTGTTGTGCATTTGTTTTTGAGACAGGGTCTCTCTGTATCTCAGGTTTTCCTGGAACTCATGATCCTCCTGCCTCAGCTTCCTGAGTACATTCATTTTCTTTCTTCCTCCTGCTCCTCCTCCTCCTCTCTCCTTCCTCCCTCCCCCCCCCCCCCCGCCCCCTTTTTGAGCCGGGGTCTCACTGTGTGCCACAAGCTAGCCTCAGAGTCATGTTCTCCTGCCTCAGCTTTCCAAGTGCTGGGATTCTAGGCTTAATTAAACAGGGTTTTTCCCCCTCTCCCTTTTCTGTTATTTCCTTGCGGAATTTACTGATCAGATTTAGCCCCCCTGCTGGCCTGTTTTCATAGTTTTATATTTTTGTTCAAGTATATACTACCATTCCTAGCTTTGCATTGAATTAAAAAATTGTAAGATTTACTTTTTGGCTCTTTGAGAGAGTCTCACTATGTAAACTGGACGGGAACTCGTTACAGATCAGGCTGGCCTTGATCTCTCAGATCATACTGCCTCTACTACCCAGTGCTGATGTTAAAGATGCGAGCTGCCATGCCCGTGCACTGAATTTTTTATTTCACTATAATTTTAATTTGCCAGAGTTATTTTTGTTCCCTAAATAGTTCTTTAAAAAAAATAGCGCTATGGGGCTTGGAGAGATGGCTCATCAGTTAAGACACTGTCTGTTCTTACAGAGGACCTGGTTCCAATTCCCAGCACTCACACAGCAGCTTACAGCTGTCTATAACTCCAGTCCTAGGGCATCTGATGCTCTTTTCTAGCCTTTGAAGTCATTGCATGCACATGTTTCATGGATATACATACAGGCAAAACACCCATATACATAAAGAGAAAAAAAACAGCACTATGCTCTTGTTTTTTGGGTGCATCCCTCAGCTGAGTCTTCTCTCTGCATTGTCTATGAGTTTCTGTCTTCTGTTCAGTTGTTTAATCTTGTTCCCTGACCTGGAGGGTTTTCTTCAAATGTCTGCTGTTCTTTGGCTATACTTATTCGGCTTTGAAAAGCTGGCCGGAAACTTCTCTCCATTGCCAGGACTCAGCTGGGAATGAATGATTCTGTTGGGGGGTCCTCAGAATTTAATACCTCAAAACTTCCTTCCCTGCACCCCCCTAGTAGTCCCAGGGCCATTTGTGTTTTCCAGAAAAGCCCTCACGAGTCTCGTCTCCACCTGTAGAGCCAGTGTTGAGGGCTCAGGTGGAGAAGAGTCTTCCAATGTCTGGGCATTCTGTAGAAGCACTTCCAGCCCGGGGCTGTTTGGCCTCTGTTTGACAGCTCTGATGGCTGTTAATGTCTGGCTGCTACCTTGGGATGGAGGCTGGGAGGCTTTAACTGCCTGTAGGAGGTGGAACAGTCCTGCATTCAGCTCCACTTCCTGCCTGCCCTCCAAGGTACCCCCCCACGTCTCTGGGCCCTGAGCTGTCCCCCTCCTTTCCTCTGGTAGGCTTGTTTGCAGCGTGTTGTGGGCTCTTGGTGTTCGGTCTTCTAATCTCATCTGCTAATGTTTCCTTCCACTCTAGTTTTCCAGAAGTGTGTTGACAAGTCTCAACTGCTGCCATTTCCTCCTCTGCTCTTGAGAGTTTTATTTACTTCACTTGGCTGGAAGCTTGTTTTATTATTATTATTTTATTTGCAGTATTGAATATCAAACGAAGGGCTCACACATGCTAGGCCAACACTTTACCGATGAGCTGCATTGCCAGCCCTTTACTATCTTATTTGGAGACAGACTTCTTAGCGTCCTGCCGTGGTCTTCTGAAAAGCTGGGGTTATGAGCGTGTGCCACTGCACCCAGTTTGAATGAGGATGTGGTTTTGTTTTACGTTTGTATGTATTGGTCGTGTCTGTGTACGTGCACTGCACGTATGTGGAGATGAGAGGATAACTTGAGGGAGTCAGCTCTCTTTTTCCAGTATCGGATCCCAGGGATTGAACTCATGTCGAGGTTTAGTGGCAAGTGTTTTTACCCACTGAGCCATCCCGCCAGCTGAGAAACTGTGTATTTTGATCGGGAGTGTAGGCTATTATATATTTATATTTATCACACTTGGACTTAATTCTGTCATCTGTATTTTTTCAGTGTTGGAAATTGAACCCAGGGCCTCTACTACTGAGCCTACTCCCTAATCCTTCTCTGCCCAACCTCCCTCTTTTTTTTTTTTTTTTTTTTTACTTAATATAGCCTTATGTATCCCTGGATGGCCTGGAACTGTATATCACTATTGCCACAAGTACCTTGAATTTCTGATCTTCTGTCTCCACCTCCTGAGTGGAGGGTTATAGGTGTGTGCCATCATGCCTGGCTTTATGCCGTGTGGGGATCAAACTTAGGACTTTGTGCAAGTTAGACAAGCACTCTACCAACTGAGCTACATGCCCAGTCCTCTATAGAGCCTCACTATGTAGCCCAGGCTGGCCTTGAACTCATAATCCTGCTGCCTTTGCCTTTTGAGTGCTGAGATTGCAGGTATGTGCCCCATCTGTGGCTACCTCTGTCATTTGATTTAGTACTTTCTACCTGGTGTGTCTTCTCTCTGCTGCTTTTCCTGACCTGTCCTTTACTGTGTAGACTGAAATTTCTTCTCCTAGTTGGAAAGTTATGCATGATTGAGGTTGTCTATCGTTCTTCTCATGGTGTAACTTATTAAGCCCGTAGTTGGCCTTTTCATTAACTTGTGTCTTTGCCATGAAAACATGAAGCCCCCTAGCATGGTCTCCCCACTCCTCTGCTCTCCCTGCCTTGGTGGGTCCAAGCTGTACTCCATGGCTGCTTTCCGTGGAGGGACAGGGCAGCCCTGTTCATTTGCCATTGCTTAGAACTGGCAGGCTTGTTTGTAGGTGTCTTAGAGAGGCCTTCAGCTCTCAGTGATGGTTTGGTCTAAAGGATATCTAAAAATATCCCTGAGGTTTTGTGTGGGACTAGGGATGATAGGTAGAAGAAGTGAGACGGAGTGGACAGATCAATAATGCTGGGGACCCGAGACCTGCAGCCCCTCCTCAGTCTCCCTCTCCCAGATGTCTGCTTTTGGCTCAGCTTTGTTCTCACAGAGCATGGTACCCCCTGCTCTGTGTAACAGGGAGAAAGGTTCTAGGTGGGAAGGAGTGTTGACCAGACTGTGTGCAAAGAGGCGGCCTTGACCGGACACTGACAGTTCTTATCAAGCAGGAATTCGGATCCGGCAGCATCAGAGCGTTCAGTGTTTCTCTAGCAGGCAGGAAACTGGAGTTTGAAATCTTCCAACTTACACATGGGCTAGAACTGCTTAGAACCCTGTCCAGGCTAAGGGCTAGCTCTGCTCAGACACTGTGGCCTTTGCACAAAGCCCTGGTTGTCAATGGTGCTTTCTGTCCTCCTGGATGTATGTCCTTTCCTGCCTCCGTGGATTCTCCTAAGGTGTGGCTTTCTACTCCCTGCCTCACGCAGTGACTTCCTCCTGGACTGTTTCTCCAGGCCATGTTCTATCACACAGACTAAACACCTTTTGGTTTGTATCAGCGCTTTCTCAGTCATTGACAAGGTGAAGACACACTCGTTCTCCCCCGTGGAGGGCACAGACTTCATTTTCCCAGAGCCTGTCTGTAGCCTGAGGCCCTGTCCCACACCCAGGCCTTGTTCCTGAAGTAGGTGAGGGGACTCTGCTCTCTCAGTGGAGCATGGAGACTGACATTGGATGCACACACAGCTGTCAATGCCTTGGCCCGTAGCAAGCAAGCTGTTGCCATAGAGCTTGGTCCTGTGAGTCTCCCTGTTGGTCTCTCCTGCCTATGGTAAGCTTGAGTTTTTTCCCATTGTCCGCCTACCACTGCCTCTGGACTCACTCTACTGCCTGAGTGGCAAGTGACCGCTGCTTTATATACCGAGGCAGTTGCTGACTCATTTCTCAGCAGCCCCTTAAATAGGGAAGTGAAATGTGTACACCTGGCAGGGCCTGACCTTTGAGTGACAGCGGAAGTAGCTGTGTAAACATGAGTTCATTGTTAAGGGGAAGTCCTGTTCACCACCAGGCTGAAGAGAGTGTCTGCCTGTACTGGCCCTCATGTGGCCTCTACGCCTGTGGCTCTAGTAACTTTTTTTTTTCTTTCTCCCTTCCCTCCACTTCCTTGGTGACAGCTGGAAGTCACAGTGGTAACAACTGAGAGAGCCAAACATTTCTATAGCCCTCAGGATGTTCCTGTCACCCTCTACAGTGATGCTGATGAATGGGAGGTTAGTGCTGGGCCCATTGCTTTTCTTCCAGCAGGACAGAGCTATCTTCCTTGCAGCCTATGGTCCTGGCTGCTGGAGCACACAGCCTGGGCTCAAGTCAGTGGTCAGGGCCATCTGGGCAGAGGCAATGAGGAAAACATCTGTCTAGCTTCTGGCCTGCGGGAGGCCTGTAGTCCCGCCTTCCTCAGGCAGAGCTCAGCTTTGGCCCAGTGCCTGGGGTTGAGTGTCCTTGTACTTATCTGGGCTGATGAAACCACAGAGGAGCTCCGTTCCCACCACCCTTGTCCATGTGGCTCTCAGCGTCAAGGCTATCCAGAGTGCTTCACTTCCCACGGCCGCTGGCCATGCCTCCGCCCTCCTGCAGAGGGGTGGGCACCAGCCGATTTGCCAGGCGCAGTGTGGGCCTCATAGGACTGCCCTGCCAGGCATTTTAAAACATTCTCAGTCCTGAACATTGCTGGCTGGCTTGCCCTCCCCTCCCTCGCCTCCCCCTCCATTTCTCACCGCCCCAGAGCCCTTCCACTGGCTTGGACAACCCAAGCATCCGCCTCAAGCAGACAGGCCAGGAGTTCCCTGCCAGATGTCAGTTCTCTTGAAAACCAAACCATAAAGGGAATAAGCTCAGAGAGACAAGGAGCGTTTGTTTCCCCGGGCCTGGTTTCTGTCAAGCTGCTGGCTCCATGGCCAGTGCTTGCCAGCTTCGCTGTGAGAGGGGACAGTGGAAGACTTTGAGGGAGAGCTAGGTGGTTTCCTTGGGCTTCTCAACTGATTGTACCTGGCCTATTTGGCCACCATCCCCTCCTGACACACAAACTGAGAATGACTGGGTTGACGGCCCCCATTTCTTTCCTTTGGCAGATGTGGAAGCGCCGCTCTGACCCAGTTCTCCACATTGACCTGCGAAGGTGGGCTGACCTCATGCTTGTGGCTCCCCTCGATGCCAACACTCTGGGGAAGGTGGCCAGCGGCATCTGTGACAACTTACTTGTGAGTGACTCCTGGTGTCCTTCCTCGCCAGCCTTGCTCCCAGTTAGCCGAGCTGCAGATTTCACTGGACAAGTCAATCTGCTGCTGTGGGGTGCAGGTCTGTCGAGCAGACCCCTGTCCTTGTCTCTTTAGCAAAGAGGCCGAAGGTCCGGGTCTGATGGATCGTCTGGCTTCGCCAGCACTATCTGGGAGTGTCCACCTCTCTCCTGTCGTCGGTGGTCAGCCAGGTGCCCCAGCCTCAGCCCCCTGCTCTTCCATCTTCTTCCCACAGGCTGCCCTCTGCTCACACCCCCATTGATTTCCCGTCCTTTACTGCTTCTCCATCAGTTCTGCCTCCCCCAAGAACCTAGAAACACACATGAAGCCCCTGATGAGGGTGTCTACGTCCTCATGCAGCTCACATGCTCACTTCTCTAGAGTCATTTTGGCCCCAAAGCTAAACCCCAATCAGTTTTCACATCTATCAGAGGAAGCTTGGAGGGAAAAACCAGGTGAGAAGTGATTGCCGGATTGGCTTATTATACCTGAGACCTCTGGGGAGCTGCTCCCATAAAGAGCAACTATCTTTGTTTACGTGATCATCCTGAGGAGGTCTTATGGACCCCCTCCCTCCATTTCTTGACCTTTCACCTCCGGTGTTCTGAGGGCTTAAACTGAGGATACAGGGAGAGATTTGTGATCACCCATGCAGGCAGGAGGAGTACTCCCTGCTGAGTACTATAGACTTAAACGACCCCATCAGCCTGTGGAGCATGCTTAGCGCTGGGCACGAAGTAGGCATTTACTAGTACTGCTTGTATGTGTAGGAAGTAATTTTTTCATAAATATTTTTGTTTGAATTTGTGTGTGTGTGTGTGTGTGTGTGTGTGTGTGTGTGTGTGTGAGAGAGAGAGAGAGAGACAGAGTGGAGTGGGGGAGAGAGAATATGCAGCTCCTCTCAAACATTCGGTAATCCTGTCTCTGCCTTCTGAATACTGGCGTTGCAGGTGTGTATTACTACACTCAGCTCAGTTTTAGAGTTGAAAATGGTGAAGAAGTGAATGTGGAAGATGCGTCAGGAGCTTTAGGAGATCACATATGAAATTAATGTCCTGTCATCTGGGCCCGGTGGTGTAAGCCTGTAATCCTGGCAGCTTGAGAGGATCAAAAGTTCAAGGCCTGTGTAGGCTTCAGCACAATTCTCTAAGTAGAAAGTAAAAAGAGGGCTGAAGATGTAGCTCAGTGGCAGGATGCTTATGTATCGAGTGTGAAACCTGGCTCATTCAATCCTTATCTGCTTGTTAGGAGACTCTAAGCTCCTCTTCTGGGAAGCTGCTGGTGACTTAAACATCGTTAGACTAAGAACATAGGATTAGAGGAACACCACCCTGATGCTGTGGCCAGAAGCAGACTGGGTAGGACAGAGAAGCAGAGCCAGGTACAGCATGGTCCTCGCTGCCCAGGAGGGCAGGGCTCTGCAGCAGGTGAGGGAGGTGCTCAGCCGTGTACCCCCAAATCCCTGGGCTCCTGTTAGCAGGTTAGCAGCAGCTGATGTGGTAGAACACACCCCAGCCAGCTCTCTGAGGGTTCTTCCCATCCTCTGAAAACTCAGGTCTCCCTCCTTTTTGTTGTTGTTATTAATATTATTATAATCATATGCTAAGCCCTTTTTTTTAATAGAGCCTATAGCTAAGCTGGAGAGATGGCTCAGTGGTTAAGAGCACTGGATGGTCTTCCAGAGGATCCAGGTTTGATTCCCAGCACCTACATGGTGGTTCACAACTGTTTGTAACTCCAGTCTAGGGGATTTGACACCTTCTTTTGGCCTTCATGGACAGCAGGCATACATGTGGTGCACAGACATACATGCAGTCAGAATACCCACACACATATAAAACAAATATAGTCTCAGATAGCCCACGGATCTTGAAATCCTGATCCTCTTGCTTTCCCTTCCCAAGTGATGGGATCGCCGTGGCCTGAGGGCCTGGCCTTTTTTTTTTTTCCCCTAGGCTGCCACACTCCCTATTTTTGAGTTCTCTTCTTCAGAATTGCCTGAACAGTGGAGCATGCCCCTGAACTAACCACTTTCCTCAGTTTCACCTGAACATGTTGCAGACAATCTCCAGTATTATGGTTTGAACTGTAAGCTTCCTTGGTTGTGGGGCTACCTTCTGCTCAGTACGTGTCTTCTTAGAATCCTGAAAGGAAGCTCAGCCTACTTTCCCTTTCCAGACTGTCCTGTCTCCATTGGAAAGGTGCTGGAGAGCAGCATGCTAGATCTTGTCCTGCATTCCTGGTCTCCAGGCCTTCAGCCTGGGAATGGCTGTCTCTGTCTGCACTGGCCTCTCTGTGCTAAACTGTCAGGTCCAGAAAGAGGGAGTGACCCCCCCACTCCCCAGGGTTGACAGTCTGGCTCAGCGCTAGTCTCTTGACTGGGATCCAGCCTTCTGCCCTGCCTGAGCAGGTTCCCAGGGGCAAGGCCGAGGCACTGAGCATGGTGCCAGCCACTTGGCTGTGGGAACCACGTCCTCCTCTCCCTTTCCTACCGCTAGTTGCTTCAGAGAAGCTGTGGTTTGTCCAGGAAGCGCTGTCCTCCGAGTCAGACGCTGGGGAAGCGGCCCTGCCGAGGGCAGACGGGTTGGGTTTTTGCTGTGGTCAGTGTGCTCTGCTTTGAAAGTATTTAGAGCCCGCCCAGCCCCATCCCTACACCAGACATCACCAAGGGCCCCTTCTAGGTTTGCTTACAACTCCCGCAAAAGCAGCAGGTGGCACAGAGCCGAGAGGAAGGGTGACTGGAATTGTCCACTCACAGCTAGCTTGTCATATTGAGAGGAGTTGGTGGGAAACCAACTCTGGTGTCTGGGATGACGCAAGCAGTCGGATTCTGAGGCTGTTTGCTGGCTGTCCCAGGAGAGGGTAATGGCACTGCGGGACAGACTCTGGCTCTGGCTCTATGTCGCATTGTTCTCTGCTCCCTCCTCCTTTCCCAAAAGGACTCTATTTCTGGGAGGGGTGTCACAATTGCTGTCTCCCCAGGAGCTTTCAGGAGGAGGTGCCTGGTGTGGTCAGCGCACAGGAGCTTATCTCTTCGAGAGGCACTCCCTGGCCTCCTGAGCCTGTGCCTTTGTTGTGGAGCCTGTTCTGAGTGCTAGGCCCTCAGCTAAGAGCTTTCACACTTTGGCATCTGGGGTACCCACCTCTAATTCCACCACCTAGGAAAGCAGGGAGCCAAGAGTTGAAGGTCAGCTGCTTCATAGCCAGTTCAGAGGCCAACCTGGACTACATGAGACTCCGCCTCAAAAAACTACTGCCGTACCATGTTACCATCAAAAGCACTCACATTCTTTCTTATTTTTATTTATTTTATTTTTTGAGACAAGGTCTATGCAGCCCTTGCTGGCCTGGAACTTGCTATGTTCCAGGCTGGTATACTACCATGCCCAGCTCTCTCTCTCTCTCTCTGTCTCTCTCTCTCTCTGTCTCTCTCTCTCAGCCTCTCTCTCTCTCTCTGTGTCTCTCTTTCTCTTTCTGTCTCTCTCTCTTTCTTCCCTCCCTCCCTTTCTCCCTCCCTCTCTCCCTTTTTCTTTTTTTTTCAGACAGGGTTTCTCTGTGTAGCCCTGGCTGTCCTAGAACTTGCTCTTTAGACCAGGCTGACCTCGAACTCAGAGATCTGCCTGCCTCTGCCTCCCTGAGTGCCAGGATTAAAGGTATGTGCCACCATTGCCTGGCAGCTCTTTCTTTCTTTCTTTCTTTCTTTTTTTTCTTTTCTTTTTTTTTTTTTTTTTTTAAAAAGAGTCCTGGTATATATTCCAGGCTGGCCCTGAACTTGAGATTCTCTCACTTCAGTCTCCAAAGGGGCTGGGATGACAGGCATATGCCACCACACCAGTTATTCATGGTTTGATTTCAAGCTTGTATGACTTTAGAGTTCACAGTCTTAAGACTCTGAGTTGGAAAATAGGAAGGAAGGAAGGAAGGAAGGAAGGAAGGAAGGGAGGGAGGGAGGAAGGGAGGGAGGAAGGAAGAAAGGAAGGAAGGAAGGAAGGAAGGAGGGAAGGAAGGAGGGAAGGAAGGAAGGAAGGAGGGAGGGAGGGAGGATCTGAATTGGTCAAGCCCTTTCATAGCTGCTCTGCTGTGTGACCTGGGTATGGGCTAGCTTTGGAGGAGGGGAGACCGCCCAGTCCAATGGGTGGTTATGCAAGACCATGTTTGTATCTAAGTGTGACCTTGGACAACTATTAATCAGTCAGGGAGTTGCAGCTTGCTCATCTGTGAACAAGGGACAGTACTTTCCTTATAGGGTTACAGTAAGGGTTCTTGAGATAATGGATGAGAAAAGGTATCGTGTGTTGGATGTTTTCATTCTCAGGGTTTATTCGACCTTAGAAGTAGAGCTGTTACTGAGTAGAACTTGAACACTCTGGTTTCTCACCTTCAATGAATGGTGAAGCTGGCCCCTGCCCCAGGATTGCTTCCCAGCCCTGCAGGTGTGAGCTGTATGAAGGCTTAGGCTGGCGGGCGGGGAGATTGCACACAGAGTGGAGATCTGTGGAGGCATCTGGGGCATTGTGGGTGCTGATTGAGTGTCTCCTGTGTCTTGGACCATACCAGAGCCTAAGCGGAGATGATGTGGGATAAAGAGACTGCCCCTCCCCGCTTAAGGATGCAAGAACAGATCAGCCATCCCTAGTCAACAGCTGTTTTGCTGACTATGGCTGGAGGACATTAAGGGGAACTTGGGGGTACTGAGGAGGGGTGGTAGACAGAGCATCAGCACCTCTCCACTTCTTCACAGACCTGTGTCATCCGGGCCTGGGACCTCAGCAAGCCCCTACTCTTCTGCCCTGCCATGAACACTGCCATGTGGAAGCACCCTCTCACTGCACAGCAGGTGGGCCAGCTCAAGGCCTTCGGCTACGTGGAGATTCCCTGTGTGAGCAAGAAGCTGGTGTGTGGAGACCAAGGTGGGCTTCTTGCCATACTCAGCCCAGAGCTGTAGAAGGGGCTCTGCTTTGGGATCACCTTTGGGTTCTGTGGTCCAATGGTTCTCTGGCTCATCGTGACCTTGGACAGAACTGTTTTCTGAGCTCAGCTCTCATCTGGCAATGGATAGAGTGCTAATTCTTGTTTCTCAGGATCATTAGGCTGAAGTGAGACAGGTGTGTGAAGTGTCTGGTGGAGTCCCTGGTAATGAGTGACCCCCAGGGCCTGTCCCCAGGTAGCTTGGAAAAGATATGGTGGATCTAGCTCATGCTGAGCTGAACTTGGGCTCCCCAGGACTAGGATGTGGGTGAAGGGCCGAGAGGAGATCTGAGTGTAGCCACAGGCAAGGTTAGATCACGTGATGGCTCTTCGCCACAGATGAACTTTGCTTCCAGGTCTAGGAGCCATGGCTGAGGTGGAGACCATTGTGGATAAAGTGAAAGAAGTGTTCTTCCAGCATGGTGGCATCCAGCAGAGTTGAACTGGGATTTTGTCATGGTGTTCCTGTACCTAGTGAGTTCAACTTGAGCTCTTGAAGAGGGACATCAGCACAGTATGAAGAGCCTGTGTTTGCTGAGGAGGGGCTGGCCAGCACCTTCTCAGAGCTTCCCTGGGGTCTAACCCTCTTCAAGTTAACTACAGACCCAAGTCCTGCCTTCTTTTAACCAGGAGATACCTGCTTTCTAGAGGCCCTCCCATTTCTTCCTGGGATAGGCCCAGCAAACCAGGCAAACAGGCGGCTACCAGAAGGATAATTGAATGACTGAGGGACCTCCTGCCTGGAAACTGCTTTTAGAAACACCATGGCTGAAGCTGGGCGTGGTGGCTCACGTCTGTAATCCGAACATTCAGAAGGCTGAGGTAAGATTGCCACAACTTTGAAGTTGACTCGGGCTGTATAGTGAGCCAGGCCTGTGAGTGTGACAGCCTATTTCAAAACAAAAGCCACAAGAAGAAGCACAGCTCAAGATCCCTGACAGTAGGCTCCTGATCAGGCAGGCCTTGGAAGCTTCCCGGTGTCACACAAAGTCAAGAAGTCTGTGAGGTGGCAAGACTTCACATTTCCCACAGACTACTGAGAGTGGGGCCGGGATGGTCCTGGGAAATAAAGAAAAGTGACCTTTTAGGAGACTCTGGCCTTCTTACATCTCGTCTATGGCCTCAGAGGTTGGGTGCATGGCCAAGTGAGGCCAGAGAAGGTTCTGGGCTGACAACTGACTAGCATTCCCACATTCCTATGCAACATGGGTGGTTAAGGACAGTGCTCCTGAAGCAGATGCTCGGATTCCAGTATCAGTCCTACCACTAACCAGCTGTGGGCCTTGCTTGACCCTCACTTCCCATCTGGATGACCACTCTTTCATCACAGAGCTGTTGAGAGGGTTTGTCTCTCATGGTTCCCAGCAGATTCCTGAAGCCACAGTACAGAACTCTAGACGTATGATGTCTTCTTAGACATACATAACCTATGACAAATTCTAATTTATAAATTAGGCCTAGTGAGAGATTAGCAACAATAACAAAACAGAACAGTTATTCACTTTGTTCTGTAATAAACTATTTTCCATGCTGAAAAGAAAAAGAATAATTAAAAATATAATAGGGGCTGGCAAGATGGCTCAATTGATAAAGGTACTTGCCACCAAACCTCCTCACTACTTGAATTTGGTCCCTGGGACTTCCACATGGTGGAGGGTGAGAACTGACTTCTGAAAGTTGTTCTCCGACCTCCATTCTCACACTGTGGCACGTGTACTATTTACACATGCACACACACACACACAATAAATACAGTAATTTAAAATACTATTATAAAACCTGTGTGAACATGTAGCATGAGTCTTAAAAGTTCTTATTAATAGAATCAAACCTGAAGCCGGTTATTGGGGTGAACACTGGATGATCAGAGAGACAGAACAAGCCACAGCTATCTCACCTTGCCAATTCCTCAGCTGGTCTTGTTTCCTCAGACTGGAAGCTTCTGTGTCCTCATCCCAATGGCTCTCAGCTGAACTGCTGCTGGAAAGCCTGAAAGCTTAACCAGCCAAAATGCTTAACCAGCTAAATGCCTCTAGTTTCTGGTCCTCACGCCTTATAAACCTTTCTGCTTTCTACCACCACTCCCTGGGATTAAAGGATGCTTTCTGGGATTAAAGGCATGAGTCACCATGCCTGGCTGTTTCCAATGCAGCCTTGAACTCACAGAGATCCAGAGGGATTTCTGTCTCTGGAATGCTAGGATTAAAGGCGTGAGTGCCACCATTTTCTAGCCTCTGTATCTAGTGGCTGTCTGTTCTCTGACCCCAGATAAGTTTATTAAGGTACACAATATTTTGGGGAACACAATACCACCACATGAACATGGTAATTTAGCAACTTCAGTGTACAATTTTACAAATTGTAAAAAGTGTACAAAGTGTACAAATTGTAGTAAGTCAAAAACTTAGACTTTGTTGTTGTGTTTTTAGATAGGGGTTTTCTTTTTTCTTTGTAGCCCTGGCTGTCCAGGAACTCACTGTGTAGACCAGGCTGGCCTCGAACTCACAGAGATCCACCTGCCTCTGCCTCCCAAATGCTGGGATTAATGGTGTGCACCATCATGCTTGGCCCAGGACTGGACCTTTTCACGTAAGGAAGCACTTGATGCTTCTCTGGCTTTTCTGACTTGTTGGCATCATTACTCTTGTGCTTTGGGGCTGTTATAGAGATAAGGGCTATCTGAGCACAAACACTGATATTTCGATACTAAGGCGGTCGATCTGATAACAGTAGTAGCTGACTGTCTGTCATATACAACATGGACACACTGGACTAAAGGATGTCTGGGTTGGGATGGAGCAAGAGGTGTGATTGTTCATGTTCCTCAGCACAGTATGTGACTTTTATTTCTTGGCTTTTTGAGACAGGGTTTCTCTGTATAGCTTTGGAGCCTGTCCTAGAACTCACTCTGTAGCCCAGGATGGCCTTGAACTCACAGTGGTCCACCTGCCTCTGCCTCCCAAATGCTGGGATTAAAGGAGTGTGCTACCACCGCCCAGCCAATATGTGACTTTAAACTAAGAATTGTTTTAATAAACTTTCATATTTCAGACTGTAATTGACTGTAGGTAACAGAGAGCAACTTTGCAGATAAGTGGAGACTTCCGTGGCCACTCTGCTGAATGCCTGGAACTTAGTAAATGTCAAATAAACGAGCGTTGATACTGTGTGTGCACAATCTCAGAAGTGCACACATGTGGCGGGAACTTCCCTAACGTTTACTGAAATAGCCATCTCATGTTTAGGGACATAAGCCCCAAATCCCAAGCTGGCACAGTCCTTTACGGAGGTGACAGGTAAGTCATCGACAGGGCTGCAGCCTCCCTGCGGTCCACGCCTCTCTCTTGCCTTCTACTCTCCGTGTCGGCCCTTCTAGTTCCCATCCTTTCAGCCTTTTGCACTTGCCTGGAGATGCCTGCCCTGTTTATGATACATGTGGCCCAGAGAACTGGTCTCAAGAGAAACTTTGGCCTAGAAACCTCTTGCTGTCTCACTTTTGACCTAGTAACTCTGATGTGGCTGTTGTGAGGCCCTCTGTGTATTTGCAGCTGAAGTGGGGGCTGCTTTCTGCTCTGGTTCCTGGACTAAGCAGTGTCCTAAAAGTATTGTGGGTACAGGTAGTGATGTACCAGAACCGTTGTCTCCAGTAGCCTCCAAGAGCCCTTCTATCTTAAATTAATAAGTGACCTTTTGGAATAAAATTGCCTTAGGGCAGTAAAGAAAATGTAACCTAAATCGGGTTAAGAATGAACCTTAGGGTCAACAAGATGGGTCAGCAGGTAAAAGATGCCTGTTAACCCAGGTTCGATCCCTGGGACCCACAGCGGGGAAGGTGAGAACCAGTTCCTGGGGGTTGTTCTCTGACTTCCACATGGGCATAATGACATGCAAACCCACATATATACAAAATAAATAAGGAAATATTAAAAAAACAACCTCACCATCCTGGGATGTAGTAATGGAAGAGTGCTTGCTGCCTAGCATGTGCATGGCCCTTGATGGTAAACAAAACCAGAAACTTCTCAACGTCGAGTTTGAGGCCTGTCTAGGCTGAAAAGTGAATTCCCTGCCAGCCTGAGCTACATAATGAGACCTTTTCTCACCTTTCGCCTCTGACAGGTTTCAGAGTCAGAATGTGGGGAGGAGAGCCTACCACACCAAATTCCAAGAACTCATTAGATAGTTCCCTCCGGTCACCTCACCCTTTACCTCAGAACCCTGCTCATGGATGATAAGACTGATTTAAGAGAAATGACTGTCTGCTCAGTGCTTGTTGTGGGTAAGGCTCTGTGCTGGGCACTTTAGGGAAATCAGTTCCCAAAGGTGGCCTCTGGTTACCTCTAGTGTAGGAGACAGCTAAGTGACAAAGGTCTTTCCAATAGAAGTAGCCACAGATTAGCTATGTTTTAGGGTTTCTATTGATGTGATAAACGCCATGACCAAACACAGTGTGGTGAGGAAAGAGTCTATCCCAGTTTATAGTTATCACTGAAGGAGGTCAGAGTAGACCCTCAGGCAGGAATCTGGAGGCCAGAACGGAAGCTTCGGAGTGCTGCTTCCTGGTTTTCTCCTGGCTGGCTCAACCTACTTTCTTATAGCACTCAGGACCTCCAGCCAAGGGGCGGCACCATCCACAGTGAGCTGGGCCCTCCTACATCAATCATCAATCAAGAAAATGTACTAGGGGCTGGAGAGATGGCCCAGAGGTTAAGAGCACTGGCTGCTCTTCCAGAGGTCCTGAGTTCAATTCCCAGCAACCACATGGTGGCTCACAACCATCCGTAATGAGATCTGGTGCCCTCTTCTGGTGTGCAGGCATATATGCAGACAGAAGATTGTATACATAATAAATAAATTAAACATAAAAAAAAGAAAATATACTAAAGGTTTATCACAGGCCAATCCAGGAGGGTCATTTTCTCAATTGAGTTTCCCTCTTCCCAAATGACTGTAGGTTTGTGTCAAGTTGACATAAAACTAGCCAGCACAAACTGTAAAATGCTGTTTAAAAGGCTATGGAAGAGCCAGGTATAATGGCACATGCCTCTAAATCCCTCAGGAGGCAAAGGCAGGCAGATCCTTTGAGTTCAAGGCCAGCCTGGTCTGTGTAGCAAGTTCCAGGCCAACCAGGGCTACACGGAAGACTGTCTCAAATAACAATGGTGGGAGGCCAGGCACCGTGGCTCATGCCGTTAATCCCGGCACTCCCGAGGCACAGGCAGGCAGATCTCAGTTCTGGCCCAGCCAGAGCTACACAGGGAGATAGCCTGTGCCAAACAAGCTATGAGAGCAGAGAGAGCTTCCAAGTGCCTTGTCCTGTCATTCTGAGAGCAGTGACTCGTCCTTGGCTAAAGGGAAATGGATATCCCTACGGACAGGAGCCAGCTAGAGGCCCCAGCCCTGGGGTTTGCTACTACTACTCTGACTCAGGACAGTCCTGCACGTCTGAGCCGAGTGCAACCAGGAAAGGCAGAACATGTAACAGATGGGGTGCTGTGGTGGTTATGACAATGACAGCCCCTTCCACCGAGGCACCGTGTTTTTGAAATCATCTTGGGTAGAAATATTCTTCGGAGAATTTTCTAGTCTCCTAATATCTTCAGAATTCTGCAAGTTTGGCAGAACAAAACATTTGGGTCTGAAATTTGTGATGTTGTGTGGGAGGCTGCCTTGCGTCTTTCTAGGCTTCTGTGGCTGCCGCTGGTCAAGAGGCTGAGAATACTATGCTACTATGGGCTACTCCACACAACTTACCAGGTTCCTCAGCTGCTCTCACTGCCCCAAGCCAGGCCCCATCCCTGCTCTTTTGACTCTTCCCTGGACCAAGAGCCAACCCTGCAGGCCTCCCTGTCCTCTGCCAGCGTTGACAAGCACGCTCTTTCCTGCCACTTTGCTTTGCATGTGATGCTGCCTGTACTGAAGACATTGTCACCTCTGTGTGCTGCCCCAGGAAACTGTAGGTCACCTTTCCAAAGCCTTCTCCGGCCCGCTTGGACTGGATTAAGTGATCTTTACCCAGGTCCTTGTATGTTTGTTTTGTTTTTTGTTTTTTGAGAAAGGGTTTCTCTATGTAGTCCTGGCTGTCCTTGAACTTGCTCTATAGACCAGGCTGGCCTAGAACTCACAGAGATCCACTTGCTTCTGCCCCCCCCCCACAGTGCTCGGATTAAAAGCATGTGCACATTGCCTGCTGTCTGTTTTCTTTGTGTCCTTCTGGCATTGGGCTCTCTTGTAAAGTAGCAGTTGTCTTGTGCCTTGCAGAACCCAGCAAATCATCCCAAGCTTATTGCACTGTCAGATGTGTGTGTGGAGTGGGTGGGTGGGTGGGTCATATCCTGTTCCTGAACAAGACTGAAAACCTAGGAATCATAAGAAGCAAAGACGGATAAGTTTGACTATAGAAAAACAAACAAGTTGGCAGAACAGAAACCCAAAGGCAAGATTAAAAGACAAATTTGGAAAATCACCTGCAACTCTTACAACAGGAGAAGTTCCCTAATATACAGGATCTTTCGTTGATGTGTGTGTGTGTTTGAGACAAGGTCTAACTATGTAGCCCAGGCTGGCTTTGAACTTGAGACCCTCCTACTTTAAGCATCCCAAGTTCTGGAATTGCAGGCATGCACCACAAGACCCAGCTTTCTGTTTTTGTACTGCTGAGGATCATATCCAGTGCTATGAAGCAAAGTATGGAAGGCCAGTGATGGGGCATTAAAAAGAATTTACTAATGTAGGAACAGAGAGAATTTATTGAAAATCCTGCAAGGGAGAAGCTGACAAGTTCTTGGGGAGGAGGGCTTGGGGGGACAAGCAGAAGTTCTTTTAGAACAGTTGAGGGGGAAGTTACTTGGTATTTTAATTTTTTTCCTTTATGTTTTGTTTTATATGTGCAGGTGCTTTGCCTACATGTGTGTCTGTGCACCATATGTGTGCAGTGCCTGAGGAGGCCAGAAGAGGGCATTTTATCTCCTGGACTAGAGTTGCATATGGTTATGAGCGGCCATATGCATACTAGGAATCAGAGTAGGTGCTCTTAACCACTGATCCAGCTCTCCAGCCCCAACTTACTTGGTCTTATCACCATGGGCCTTTGTGTGGGCTCATTGCTGAGAGGATAGCCAGTCCTCTGGTTATCTTGTTAAGTAGTAAATCTTATAACCCAAGTTTTTCTTGAGAATAGCCATTTGGGTAAGGTCTCATGGGTCAATAGCAGCCAGCCTACAGATGTCTGTAAAAGATATAAGTTACCAGAGATCAAACTCCAGATGGCCATGGCCTGATTATTGGAATTCAGCTCTCATTTTGGCTTTTGTCTCTATGATAGGGTCTTACATATGCCAGATAAGTGCTATAGGACTGAGCCACCATCCTATTTAAAGTATTTCTCTCTAAAGTATTCCATATTTAAAGTATGAAGAACTGTTCATTGACTAGAAACAGACCAAGAGCACAGAGAAAAGTGGTAAGAAGACAAAAAGTTCATGCTAAACCCTGATAATGGTGCATACCTATGATCCCTGTACTTGGGAGTGGAGGCAGGGCAATCAGTCAGAGACTTTCTCAGCTACATAGTGAATTTAAGGTCAGCCCAGACTACATGAGACTGTGTCTTAAAAACAAACCTAGGAGCTTGTTGTTGTGGGGCACTCCTTTAATCCCAGCACTCGGGAGGCAGATTTCTGTGAGTTTGAGAGCACCATGCTCTACATAGTGAGTTCCAGAACAGCCAAAGCTGTTGTTTTTGAGACCCTGCCTCAAAAACAAAAGTCTGGGGAGTTGATATGATGGCTAGATGGTAAAGGCACTTGTGGCCAAGCCTGATCACTGGCCCACATGATGAGAGGGGAGAACTGACTTCCACAAGTTACCCTCTGACCTTCATACAAACACTTTGGCTTTTAAAAAAAGTTTACTTAAAAAACAGCCACACAACTGGTAGATGGTGGTGCATGGCTTTAATTCCAGCACTTGAGAGGCAGAGGCAGGTGAATCTCTGTGAGTTCATGGCAGCCTGGTCTACACCCCTCAACGAAAACAAAACAGCCACACAAATTGTGCTTAAACTGCTTATCCACTTTTGTGATGAGAGTGATATCAGTCAAATTACATTCAAATTTAAGGTTTTGCTCTTAGATTAGCAATGTATGGAGAACCAGAAACCTCATAC